GTCAAAGATCATAGTTTTTTTTATCACCCCTTCCACCTTTTTGGTTCCTTCGGAACCCGAACTCATTAACTTTCGGGTTGAAAGTGAAAGTGTTTTATCATTGGATCAATTTTCTTTTGTCACAAAGTTTATAGTGTTTGACTATCAAAAAGAAAATAAATTGTGACAAGTAATTAAAAGGAACGAATGGAGTAAAAAAAAAAAGGGGATAGAAATGGGTTTTTAAGTAGATTAAAAATAAAAATAAAAGCTATGAATATTGGAACCTAAAATATCACGAGCCATATCTCTGAAACGAAGCTGGCGCTTGCCAAGCATAGCATGGTGCTCCAATACTAAAGACAAAAGATTATAGGAATAAAAGGTGACCAGCGCTGCCATGCTCAGGCATATCATTCCCCCTATCCATCCCAACAACGTGAAAGCAAACGGCAAACTCAGCAGCGCCGGCGCCACTATCGCCGTCGTCAAATGGTATCCACAGTGCAACCATGACCCTATACCAATTATACCATTCAGATTCATATATGATACACTAAAAAGAAAAGAAAAGAGTACTGTCATATAAAATGAAACAATTATTGATCACCTCGGGATTTCAGGACGAAAAGGCTGCCGGCGTCAAGCTCTTTGGGACCATTTTCAGCATATTCTGGGATAGGAGGTACAACAGCCATATTTGTGAGAGTCAATATTCGTGGGTATCAGCTTAATGGGTACTGTTTAAGGACCTTAAAAGTGGGAAGTCAATTGTCTAGTGATTGATGACTTAATGGAAGTAGCTTTCAAGCATCCATTAATAATGAAAAAATATTCAACATCATGTAAGGAAAAAAATTGAGTCAGCTATACAATTTGGACTAACTGTGTGGCTGATTAGTGTAGATAGAAACAAAAAATATGTGATGCGTATTAATTAAAAATGTTGAAAAATATCTAGGCTAGTACAATTAGATTTTGAAGAGTCAACTACGGAGGAAAACATTTTTGAGATAACATATTAATTCTCTTATTCTCACCCCTCTGACCATCCCAACCCCCAAATTACCCCCACTCCCCATCTCTGTATTCATAACTTTTGCTCGGTAATGTATAAATACTTTTGGTATTATATTTTCTTGTTTAGATAGGCATCTCAAATCCTAAACTCTGTTTTATTATTTAAACTAGATAATGTTGCCCGTGCTATGCACGGGCCCAATAATATAAATGGTATATTTTGGGGCTAATAACCAAATTTTTGAAGCGATTGTTTGCGTGGATAAAGGAATAAGTTTTTTTATCACAAAGCTGTACTTTCTTTGACGCTATTTAAGGCATAATAAGACTACCCACATACAACATTTTTGAAATATTTTATGTTGTCAATTATCATGATTTATAGTATTTTTACGATAGATTCACTTCAAGAATCAGTGGAATTTTTTGTATTTTTTTTCAAAACATATTTTATGTTGTCAATTATTATGATTTATAGTATTCTTACACAATTTTTAAATATAAATAAAATAAGACAAATACATTAAAATGGACCCAATATATGTTATTTTTGTTGTCTCAATTTATGTGACACAAATGAAATTTGGAGAGTCATCCAAATTTTCATATATTTTTTTTAAAATGTTTGAAGTTATTAATTATTGTGATTTATAATATTTTTATGTAACTTTGAAATAATGTACATTACTGGTCACTTTGTCCTAATTTATGTGATATGGATAAAATTACAAAATTAACCCTTTTAAAATGTCTTTCAGATATTTTAAGTTGTTAATTATTATTATTTATAATACTTTTTTGGTAATATTAAAATGATATGTATTATTTTAAATATTTTAAAGCTTTTTAAGTCATTTGTAAATGATATATGTTGCTTCCTTGATTGGAACTTTTCCATTTGTGAGATATATATATACATATTCTATATTATTTTAAAAGGGAGTTTATGCCCAAGTTCTACTATATAATAAATATAATATATAATATTCAAGAAACTTCCTTTTAAAAGTCCCACAAGAATATTATATATTATATTTGGGCCTAAACTCTCTTTTATAATATAGTAGAAAA